GGCATTTCAAAGTTCAAGCAAATTATTTTCAAACAATTTTACCTGAGTTTCAGAAAACCTCAGAAAGATACATGCCTTCGTTGTGATCGCTTTAAAGCAAGCATATGCAGGAGACATTGCGGAAATTGAGCAGTTAAAAAATGAACATTAAGCCGACTTAAATCACGCTTATAAATTGAGAGACCAAATGAAAACTGATTTGACTTTTACTAAAACTGAGGATTCACTGGAGGCTCTAACATAATAGTTTTTGTATTTTTTCTAAGAATGCTATTGTTATTACAGCAATATTAATGTAATTACCAGACGGTAGGACGGAAGGCCATAAAAATCTGGCAAAACTTTTTAATTTACGAAAATGTGTTCTTAGAGTTGAAGGGTACCAAATATGATATCAAGTCAATATATATCATTCCATTTAAAAAAGTGAAATATTTAAAAATGGTGTTAATTTTTCTTGACATCTTGACACTATGATGCGCTTTGCTTAACTTTAGTAAACCATTATTCAATAGAGTGTCAAGGTATATGAAATAATGCAGGTCACGTATAAATGTTTTGTTTCAAATTTTGCAATAATATGTCATGAGACTTAAATCTGTTTTTCATAAATTGTTATCGATTCGACATTTTCCAATAACCAAATATTTAATTTATTTATTAATCATGTGTTATTTTATGATTTTAATCTTGATAATTGCTTCTTAGATTATCCAATCGTTTAAATACATTCACAAAGTTATTTATTTTTATAACACAAACTTTATTAAGACAAATATGTTGTTTTCATTTTTAAACTCGATTTTCTCGAAATGGCGATCTTGTGGCTTGACATAATATTGATAATACGTCGATTTCGAACAACATTACGCTCTATCTTCTTTTCCAAATCCAAGTCAAAAGGGTCTTCTTATTTTGAATTTTCAAAAGAAATGCTAGAACAGTACCATAGTACCAAAGAGGTTTTACTGACACTGACGTAAGATATTTATTATCGGCAAACCGTCTGGTGTGACTTATTGTGAAACTAACGGAATCAGTTCATCGCAACAATTACTGAACAAGCCGATGTTCTTGCGTCCTAGGAGGTACTGAGGGTAAATAAAACCGCGTCATAAACTGACAATAGTTTTATATTCCAAAACAAAAATAGCCTCATTTACAAGGAAACTGACATTAGATATATACCTTTTTAAACAAAACATAACACCGCGATATTTTAAATGTACAGCTCCATCTTTTATTGAAAATAACAAATATATATGTCATAAATATCATTCACTTATGTGAATATATTATCCATAAATACATTATTTTATAAGCATTTTATTTGTGTTAATAATTAAAGTAAATACATGCATAAATGGCTTATACAATTACAATACATATAGAATAAATCAATTGAACAAGAGAAAGTCTGTAGCTGACAACTATATTTATCGCTTTTAATACTACACTATAAACAATAGGTACTTGTGTTCGACGACAAAACTATTTTTGTGTCGTTGTCCATTTTTTTAATTATGTTAAAGTAGAGTGATATACGAAATAAATGTAATACCTGTCTCCCAACTTATAGTCTAAGTTCCCAACCTAATAAAAAGCGGATTATATCATTTATTTAACTATAATAATAATTACATTGTCTTTTTTTTAATTGACATATTTCCAATAAAAAATGTATCTAAACAAGTGCGTTCTCTTACAAAAATATTAAAATAACTTCTTAGTAACTATGTAGTTTGATTATACCTATTAATACTAGAAACAAAATGAAATCGAATAGGCATATTTGATGAAAGCTGTTTTTTTATCGACGGCCTCTTTAACAAAACATTTTGATGATTTTTTTAAAAGGTATGCTTAAAAAATAAAATTTTTTTTTTTATAGTCTAATCCCAAAAATCACTCTAAAAATTAAAAGTATAATCTTTAAAATTAAGCTTGGATAAACTCTGTATATTGATGAAAATGGTATTAAAATCCATGTTGTAGTGTATAAGATCTCAGCGTACAAACAGCGGGAAGCGACTTTTAAAATACTAGATATAGATATTTGGTTCTAAGATCGAGAAGTCCAAAATAAACCATTTACCGGATCTCTGGTCAATTGAACGCTGTCGATTTAATCGTGAAAGGTGTCTTGGCCTTCAAATCATACAGAGATTCTTTGCCGTGTCCTGCAAACATTGACGAATGTGATGAAGGATACAATGGCGGACTAACCCTGTCTGGGGCCCGGGGCGGCATTAGGTCCGTACCTACAACTTTTTACAACTAGTGCAGAAACTTGATTTTGTGTTTACATCGCCTCCCCTGCTAAGACGCTTGCTAAAAATACGAAATAAGAAAGATAAGGCAGTACAACCCCAATTTATGATTTGATCAAGGGAACTTTCAGCCATTCGGAGGCCCCCAGAATAAGAGGCCCGGGGCGGACCGCCCCCCCCCCCCCTCCCCCCCTAGTCCGCCACTGGAAGGATACCCCAAATTGTTTATCTTCGTCAAAAGCAGTGGGTACCTAGAGTATGTCATGCTCTCTTTAAAGTCTGTGGTGGTATCGCATGGATCGAGTCGTTACCTTCCCTGAAATATGGCTGAGGGTATACGGGTGCTGCTAGTGAAGATGAGTCTACTCTAAAATATATGTAATATACTTGTCCGTTTTTACATTTACATAATTTAATTATTTATCGGTTAGCTTGTCTGAATCGGCATGTGAATGACGAGTGAAATATTTTAATATATATATAGACTTTCTTATATTTCCTAATATTGTGATTGAAAGTGACTTTATATTATAACAGCCTATACTGAATAAATGATTTTTATTTAATTTCGCGGTTTCTGCACCTTTCCACTTTTGCATTGTTTATAATTTTTGTTATTATTTGATCTGACATTTTTTAAAGCGTACCGTTTTGTGTGAGGGTATTTACAAATATTTTACATTCATTCCTCTTGATCTTGCCGCTGTGCGTGCACGGTAAAGAGTTGACGAACACGATACCTCCACGTAGACGTTTGTGATCACCGAGTGCAGCTGAAACAGTAAAGCATATCAGATATTTTATAATATCGCTTTCCGCCAGCGGCTTCGTCCGAGTAGTCCAGCATAATACATATAAACTTGAATCACAATGTATGTGGCGGGTTCGATGCATAGGCATATGAATAAAAGGCTGACTAAGCTTGAGAACTTGTTTTATTAAAGGGTAATAAAAAAAACCCTTTTCTTCGGTTTTGGTGAGTAATTTCACTTTATTGTATTTGATATGATATAGTATAGGTACATTTTTTCTTGACTTCAAACTTTGAGCAGAAACATGTTATAATAAATAGATTTTAACATTTTTTTTACAACAAATTACTATTAATTGAAATGAAGTATGAATAATGTTTCTAACTTGACGAATTTTCTTCATAACAAGCATATTGGATTACCCAAAAGTTCAAATTACGAAATTTCAAATAATGAAAATAAATGATGTTGTAGATCAAAGACAAAAAGTTTGCATGCGGAAACCAATAAACTAAACGGTGATGCGACGCACCGTATACTGATAGAAACCACATTAAAATCGTGTGTGAAGTTTAAAGGTCTCAGCGTATAGCGGCCGGCGACTTTGTATAGAATTAGCATTTACGTTGTAACAAGATTCTAGCCATTCTAATATCATTATAATAAGTACATAGATAATATAAACGACTCGTGTTTAGTAGTGATTCGCATAATGGTTGCAAGATGTCACCATCTCCGATGTTCCGGTTTGGATTTATCAATCGATAAAAATCGATCGATCAATATGAAAAAATAACCTTTGAGTGTTACGTTAAAGTTGTTTCAGATTTCCATAATACGAGTGCTTTAGCTACACCATTCAGAATCTGTGCAATAAGCGTTGTCCGATATTTATTATTTAACTCACATTCAACAGCATGGTGTATCTTTTCCTGTATTTCATCTGTTTTGTCAACATTTGCTCGCAAGATCACTGCAGCAGCTGGACCCCAAGCAGTCCCGACTACCACACTCTCCTGAACCCCGTCCACTGAGCTAATTACATTTTCTACCTCTTCTGGAGCAATCTAATAAATATCAAATTCTATTGATTTATGGAATTCTATTTTGAAAACCTTTGATACCAAGTATTCTCGGTACTTAAAATAACGTTTATAAGTATTATACACAAGTACACAACCAATTAGCATGAATCAACTGTGAATTATTAAAATTATACAAACATGATAGTTTAAATACTTGAATGAAAACTTTTTTCTTCCGACATAATAAATATTTTCATTTTCATCTCTGTAAACAATATCACCAGTTTTGTACCAGCCATCCGTAGTTACTGTTTCCATATAAGCGTCTTGGTTCTTGTAGTAACCCTGAAAATTACAGTTTTCGTATTTTGTCAATACTATTACAATCCCGATTTTTCCTAACGTCTTTTTCTCTTGTATAATACTATGGACAATATGTCAAAATAATCACCTTAAAAATGCATAAATCACTTTTAAGATACAGTTCCCCTTTTTCGTGAGCACCAAGTTCTTTTCCGTCCTCAGAGACAATCTGTAAATGTAACAATTCTTATATTTTAGAATTACGATTTAGCCATTTTCACTTTCACTTCTCTTCATTGGACTTCGTCATACTTCATTGTAGTTCATCGACTTCAATATACTTCATTACATTTCAATTTCCATACCCTATATTATGCCATATACTAATTCCTCATATGAATTTTAACATTCCAAATTGATTTCCTATATTTTAACGCGCACTATCCATATTCCGTCTTATGTGAACACGGAACCTTTAAAGGGTCTAAAACTAAATACAAACGCGATGAAACTGAAGTTGTTTCATTAATTCCAAATTTAAACAAATTTTGTTACGTAGGGCATTTCCAATATTGTCACCATTGCCTTAGCAAGGATAGAAAGTACTTTAATATTTTGAGACGTATAATTGGACTTTTTAGAGCAGATGTAATAAAGAATCAAATATTATCACTTGTGACCATATTGAGTGTTTTACGAGATTCATCTTCAACAATTTTATTGAACATACGAGTAGCATATTACAACATTATGTTACTTGCCTTATACAACATTATGTTTACGATTTTCCCGTTAGTTGTCCACTGCCTATCATTATCAGATATTGCTATAAAACTCTGGGTTTCAGTCATGCCTATTCCATTTCTCAAAGAAGCTGACTGCGAAAGTTTCTCCTGCAACAAATTCCTACTATGTCATTACATTAAGGTCACAACAAAATAATATATTGTTGTGCTTACCTTTAGCAACGTAACAATATTTTCAGTAAGAGGAGCACCTGCTGTTACTATAGTCCCGATAGAACTTAACTGGCTAGGAACCGCTGATGCAGCCAAGCTTTTGGCGAAGGTCGGTCCAAGTAATCCCCATGTTGGCTAAAATATAAACAATATAACCACCATTACTTGCTTTCTTTTATATACTGGCATACTTAGTCTAGAACTCACCCGATACGTATCTATTATTTGAAGTACATGCTCTGTAGTAGGTTTCTTAGGTGTCATCAACAGGCTGACTCCATATACAGGGCAAGTAGTCATCAGAATAGTGTACGTCATCCATTGAGCTGATGAAAGAAGTAGAGCCAATTTTTCCGGCCTCGGAAAACTATTGTGATATGCCCTGTAAGAATTGCAGTACCTATCGATGACGTATCGCGGGTTATAAAGAAAACATCTTTTACGTCCCTGCTGCAGGGTCTTAGGCCTTCCTTACGGGTGGTTAAGGATGAGGCTATGATCATCCGTGACTCTCCACGCTGCAAAAACGCTGGCCCAATGTGGATTGGAGTATTAACGGCAGCAAATGCAGCCGGGACCAATGGCTTAATGTGCCTTCTGAAGCATGGAGTAGCTCGAAACAATAATTTTTGCTCATCCATCCCTGTGACCGACTATTCCGAAAGTTGCTTAACAACTATAATCGCGACCCGTGGCGCTTAGTTAATACGTTAGCCACTAAAAATAAAAAGATGAGCTAAATATACGGAAACTCTTTATGAATATTACCATATGACCGGTAGTTGGGCTACAACACCCCCGTGTGTCAAGATTGTAGCCTTAGAAAGGCCAGTCGATCCACTGGTAGGAATTAGTAGAACATCTGTTTTAGGTGTTGCCTGTGAAATTCTGTGACCTCTACGGAAGAGATAATATGGATTATCGGATACCTAAACCATTTTTAAATTTATTGTTATAGATATTTATCAACTAAGTAATTACTTATATAACGTTCTGAACTCTTACATATTTAATCTACCTACTCACAGACAGTTATCTAGATTTGTGATATGTCCTTTAAAAAATTCCTCCAATCTTTCAGAGTCATCAGATATAATCGTTTTTATTTGGGTATTCATCAGATCGTTTAGTGCATTCTTGACGTCATCGTATAGATCGTGATCACAAAATACCGCAGAAGGAGAAACCAAATTAAGAAAATGGCGTAGTTCATCTGCATGAAACAAATTAATTTAATAATCGAAATATGTTATGTCAATAAAATCTTTAAAAAGAATAATATTTATCTCAAAGGCGAGTTATTGAAAAAAATGCTATTGAAGTTGATTCTGTAGATTTATTTATGAAAAAATTAAAAAATCGATCCACTTATTTCGAAGCCTATTCGTCGAAAACAAAAAAAAAACAAATCTTTCCTCTTTAGAACAGTAGTATAAATATAGATCTATATTAATAAAAATATTAAACACAGTGAAAATCTTAGAAAAGAAGATTTTGTTTATTTGTGCGACATAGGTATTTTTTTCTAATAATTCTATACTCCTATTTTAAAATGGGAAATATTTGTTTGCTTGTTTTGGATATTGCATTGGATAGGCTGCGAAATTATTGGACCGATTTATAAAAGTCTTTCATCTACGGGAAGCTACATAATACGCGCTATAATTTATGCACGTTAAGTCTTTGGAAAACAGTTAGTTTGATAGAAATTGTTTCACAATTCAAGAAGAAATCGATTGATATGCGTACTTTCATAAAAACCATACATACTCCTTGAACACAAAAAAATCCTCCTTTCAGATTTAGAATGAATTCAAACTACACAATCTTATGTTTTTTAGCTGGGATACATGAAATACGATACATATAATCTAAATATTTAGCTGATATATGGTGAAAAGCATATTTTTTCTTGTTATACAAAGGAAAACTACTGATCCGATTTCAATTACCTCGGTCCATTAAGCTATTAAAAAGAATTTTGAAAATTGATCAACAATTGGCGGAAATATCGTTGAACATACATATTAAAAAAACATACATCCCCGTCGAACATAAAACTTTTAGATTTTGAAGTCGGCTAAAAACAAATAGGTCCTAGGAAAATAATTAAACAATTTTATACGCACATGCCGTAGAATTTGGATCAACAAGCAGCGGCACAACATTTGCAAAGATGGATGCGTAATACGTAGCCGCCATGTACTGATGGTTCCTCATAAGTAACATGATAACAGTGCCTGCTTCATAATTTGATGATATAGCGAGAGCTAAAGGCAGCGCTGTACTAAGTATTTGACGGTTAGATATTGTTTCACCGCTGGCACCGTTTATCTGAAACAAAACTTTCCATAAAACGCTATAGGAACTGTTTGGCATCGTATATTGATGAAACAGCAAAAAAATTCAAGGCATATTATGGGATGTGTCTTCAGAAAGATAACTAAGGTAAACAATGCATTTTACGTAACAACCATTAAGGTTTTTTATAGTAGATAACTAAAGTCCGATAAAAGCATTGCGTTTATACACTTGACATTGTCGTGACTCCAAGAAAGAAGAGTCATTTGAATGTTAGGAATTTGAGAACATCGATCTTGCGTGTGTTCAGACATTGAGAATCTTTTCTTACATCTTTTTATTTAGATAGGTATCTTTCATAGCAACTATTTTTTTAAGCACTGAATACAGAAACTGTATTTTAGGAATTACTTATGCAGTAAAGTCATAAAATTTTGCCATAAATAAGTAGCGTGCAAATATCATGCTGTCCAATAAAAATTCACATAAATAATAAAATAGCACGTTTTTTACAAATATATAAGAATTTATCAGACTTACTTTTACCTAATACAACAACAGGTGACATTGACCAGATTTGCTAGTTAAGTATATAAAAATATATATTTTTTAGGGTTCTGTACCCAAGAGTAAAACAGAAACCTTATTATTAAGACTTCGCTGTCTCTCAGTCTCATGAACCGTGCAAGTTAGATAGTTGAAATTTTCATTGATTACGTATTTCTGATGCCGCTTTAATAACAAATACTAAAAACTAAAATAAAATCAAACTCATACAACAAACATGTTTTTTTTTTTTTGCTCAATTTCCGATACAGAACCCTTCGTACGCGAATCCGACTCGCTTTTGGCTGATTTTTTTCCTCTTAATTACTGATGAGTAGCATAGAAAGTGCGATAAAAAAAAGTTTAAACTCACCATGAAAATGCCATCTAAATTTCTTTTCATCGAATAATATATGATCTCACCTAAATTAACTTGAGACCTTTCTTTTTTATTATTACCATTCTTTAAACTTTCCCTTGTGGCATCTATTATTGTATCTAAATACAGCTGAGCTTCCGTTGGGCACCCCCTTAATATAGCGTGTGACATTTCTAAATGAAGAACAATAATACCTAATCAGTATAATATTATTTTTTATATTAACGACTTTTTATGTCCAAATTTATTTTATTGACTTTGGAAACAAATTTAAATTATAAATAGCAATAGTGCATAATAACGCCCGCTATATAACTAAGTCTCGTAAAACGAACACAAAAAATACAACAGCTTCCAGCAAAAAATAAGAAATAACTGATGTCTCCACAATATTTTTCGTTCGTCTTGTGTATAGATATAAACCAATATTTATAATAATGTCACCGTGTTGCCTTATCTATGTCAGTTTTTCACGCTCGACTTTCTTTTATTACTGAGTTTATTATACTCCTTAATTTTATATAACTACTAGCTTTCGCCAGCGGCTTCGCCCGCGTGTCTGTGGCGTGGACCCTAGGGAAATGTTAAGTGGGATAAAAAGTATCCTATTATAAGTCAGCTAATACCCTATCTGTATACCAAATTTCAACAAAATCCTTTTAGTAGTTTCGGTGTGATTGACGGACAAACATTCAAACATCTAAACATCCAAACAAAGAAACTTTCATATTTATAATATTAATAGGAATAGGAATTAAAAGGATACTTTTCGGAATACTATATATAAAGTAATAAATGTCAATGTGTGTGTGCAAAACAAGCGGTCATATCATTCACATAGATTCATTTCATTTTCATTTTACATTTAAATTATTTAAATTAGATCAAATTTATTATTATTATTATTTAAATCAGACTTCAAAAAACCAGAGGATGATTTCTGGGTAAATGTATTGCTATGTTCAATAAAGTTCCACAAAATGTAATTGACCTACCTATAAATAAATTTCAAATTCATGTAAAGAATATACTTATGAGTAAAGGCTATTATAAAGTTGATGATTATTTTAAAGATCGCAATGCATGGAATTAATAGCCTTCGCTTTGTTCTACCTGTGTCCTACAGACTTTGAAAGTTGTATTTATTATTGTGATAATACATATGTATTATTTTGGTAATGACATGATTTATGTAAATGTCATTACCAGAGGTCGGAATTAGGTAGAGTTATTTATGTATTTGCATCGAAATGTTGATATTAATGTGGACCTTCCCTCATTGAAACAGATAACGATGTAACTTTGATTCGATCCGATTAAGTCAGAATATTAAAATCTATCGAGTTGAGGTAGATTTGATATTTTATCTATTTTATATAATGACATCCCTAATTTTCATTCCTCCAAAAAAAACATTTCGAATTCTATTGATAATGGTGTAAAATTCTCTCCTCATTCTTGAAAACTTTGAGAACCAAGGAGTTTTACCAACTTCTCTGTTAATAGCAGCGTACCACAACCCTTTGTTCGTGAATAAATAATCTTCACAATACTTATTCCAGTCTTCTTTGATTTTCTTTTTACGGAAAATTTAATGCACATCTGTACAGAATGAAAATGATTCCTTCGGCAATCTGTACTTACTGTTATCTTGAAGATCAAACCTTGGATCACTTAATATTAGAATGCCCAAGATTTAATTTAGAACGAATCATCTTTTTAGATAAACTTTTGAAAATATACAAATTACCTGACAAAGTTTCGCACTCCATTCAAGCAATGATGACTAACCAAGATATATATACACATATTTTTAAATACTTGAAAGCAATAAGACATGCTCTATAAACAAATTAGAAGAGTTCAATACTAAGGACAAGGCTGCATGGTCATCAAATCTTGCCTCAAAAGGAAAAAAAAAACATTTTGACGTTCAGTTTTGCTATTGTTTCTCTGTAAAAATATTTTGCTTTTTGCTGTAAATTACTTAGATCGTGTAAAGTAGATGGTTTAAAATTATAAAGATATGATATTTTCAATTAATTAAAACAGGGTTACAACAGTTTTAATTTAATGTTTAGAAGAACCGGTAAAATAAAAAGATCAATTGTTGGGATGTCAAGTATTTGTGGATTGTTCAATAAATAAATTTCGTATTTTGTTATTTCTGGCTTAAATCGGAACAATGGCAAACTCCGTTAACATATCAATCGAAGCACCAATTGAGAATCAAATCCAAGAAATAACATACGATGGCCAAGAAATATACCAAGCGTAAGTAACTACCTACATCTTTACATTGAGATAGAAAACTTTTACTATAAAACAGTGAAAATTCATACTGGAATCTCTAAGTTTAGATCATTTCTATATACAAGTCTGTCGTATTTATTTTGTACATAGAATAACTTTAGAAATAATAAATTTACAAATTATTGTATTTATTTCCTTAAAGTTATCGCAAAGCTTTCAAATGTTAAATTTTTTTAGCTAATTTGTCTTTTAAAATCTTAATTCATATTTTAAATACTTCAAATATTTAAAAGTAGAATAGAAGATTAACTATGCTAAAAGACAAACAGAGATAACCGACAAAACAACTTAAAAATATTAACATATTAAATTTAACATTGACATAAATTAATAATTCAATTCAATATCCTCATATATCAGCATTTATTAAATATTGTGACTAAACAAGATATTTGTGTAATGAAAGAATAAAATTGTATTAATTAAAAGTATAATTGACATGTGAATTTAATGGTTCTCTGAATAAAGGCTTATTATATATTATATATAGAAGATTTTAGCTTTTTTTAGCAAGCAACATCAAATAACAAATTTTTTGTTTGTGATAAGGCCAACAATTGTACTGTTTATAGTATTATTTGTGTTCTGGGCTTATTTACAACAAGAAATATTTCATTTAGTGACTAAATTAAATATTTCATTAAAAATAAACAAATTTTTTATTAAAAATTTCTTATTCATTCTCAGGCCTCTGTCTATGTCAGAGAATTTGGCTAGACTCGCACAAAAGATAGATTTCTCAAAGAGTGATGATGAATTCTGTAATGTCAAGAAAGAAGGAGAGACAAGTTCAGATCCTAAGCCAGATGAAGACAACAAAGATGCAGGTTATCAATCCAACCAGTGGCCCTGGGAGTCAGTGAGAAATAAACTGAGAAATGCACTCACAGAAGTTTGTGTGCTAGCTGATGTTCTGAATATTGCTAAAGAAAAGAGATACATGGTAAATAAAATCTGTTTTAACTTTCTAATTATCCAAAAATACCCTTTGTTTTTTTGTGGTATAGAAAAAAGATTAGAATAAATCCTATTATATTATTAGGAATTCTCATATAAAAATTTAGTTTTTAATCCAATAGAATTTAAACACAAAAAACCTTAATGTCTATAAACATCAAATCTAACAGATTTTTACTAATTCAGTCAGTCAGTCAAGCTCTGCTTATGTCATATGGAATGTTTGTTTGTAATTCATATAAGATTATTATAACGCATATATACAATACATTATAGGTATTAGATCCAGTACAACCGGAACAGGTAGATAACCGACCCATGGTCCAAGTGTATGGACGCAAGAAAGCACTAGGAGCAGCAGCGGCGGTCTTGCTAGCTGGTGTCGAACGTCTCAGAGCAAGTGAAAATATGAGAATAAACAGGAACATGCCTGATTTTCACATTGATTTATTGAGGTTACGACAAAACTGGAGATTGAAAAAAGTATCTAACACAATTGTTGGTGATCTTAGTTATAGGACTGCTGGCTCCAAGTTCAGCCAGACTGGTGTTTTTGAGGTATATTCTTTATATAAATTTATATGACCTTTTTGGTGTTATGCATTTGTTTGGATGTACTTTTTTGTCCCCTTTACTTTATCTCACATAAGAATGTAAAAGAAAAAGAAAAAATTTGTGTCATTTACCGATTCATTGAAACATATGTTTTGGGGGTAATAAAACTAGGTACTTGTAATCATTGTTTGAAAGCACTCATACTCGCGCCATTGCGCATGAGTATTAAAAAAATATGATTTTAAATTTATGGATTTTCTGACATTACATAATCACTCTCATAGATGAGTCTAGCCAAATTTATCGTAGTAAATTAAACCTCAAATGTTTATGATTTCTATTAGTAGGCACAAAGGTAACATACAAAATGTTCTGTTTGGCGACTGGACTATATCAAGTCTTGCTCCTACGAGGGTCAAACTGAAAGTTCTTAGAACTGGCCACTTATAAACAATATAATAAAAAAATAATTCTAAAATTTGAAAATATAACTCTTTGCCAATATTACTGAGTATATATTTCATTCATTTGTCATTTGTTTTACGATTTGGCGGCAAATTGAAAATTGTCTGTGTCACGTCATCATGAATTTAACACGAGAAAATTTTCGTGCAATGATTTTTTATGACTTTCGATGTCATTTAAGTCAACAAGAAAGTTATGATAGACTACGATTGGCCTTTCACGATGAAGCCCCATCTCGTGCGACTGTTTACAACTGGTTTAATGAGTTTAAACGTGGTCGCACTAATCTCACTGATGATTTACGTGAGGGACGGCCTTCTACGGCGACGACTGAAGATAACATCTGTGTTGTGCGGCGTATGATAGAGACTGACAAAAAGAGTGACCTATCAACAGATTCGGACAAGCTTAGGCATCGGTATGAGTCAAGTGCACAAAATCCTCCACGAACATTTAGCGGTCAGGAAGCTTTGCGCCGGTGGATACCTCATAATTTGACTGAGACTCAAAAACTCCATCGTGTGGATTGGTGTCGTAAAATGATTGAAAGATTTAACGGAGGTGACTCAAATGCTGTGTTCGACATACTAACAGGTGACGAAAGCTGGATTTACTGTTATGATCCTAAAACCAAAAGACAATCTGCTCAGTGGGTGTTTCCTTTCGAGGAGTTGCCAACTAAAGTGAAGAGAGATCGAAGTGCGGGAAAAAAAATGGTGGCCTCGTTCTTTGGAAGGATAGGTCATTTTGCAACAATTGTGTTAGAGGATCAAAAAACAGTTTCTGCAGAATGGTACACTACCAATTGTTTGCCACTTGTCTTGGAAAAAGTTCGAGAGAAACGACCTCGCAGTAGGATCCTCCTTCACCACGACAACGCCTCGTCGCACACCGCCAAGCGAACGATCGACTATTTGGCGACATCAAACGTTGAATTACTGGGTCACCCGCCGTATAGCCCCGACCTCGCGCCTTGTGATTTTTATTTATTTCCAAAAATTAAAGAAAAACTTAAAGGAAAGCGGTTTATGAATGCTGAAGAAGCGGTGGCTGCGTATCGCGATGCCATTGAAGAGACCCCTAAGGACGAGTGGGGCAAAGTGCTTTTCCCAGTGGTTCCATCGCATGCAGCGGTGTATTGACGTGAATGGACAATATTTTGAAAAGATATAATAAAACTAATAACTGGCTAATGTAATCAGTTTTTGATTTTCTAAGAACTTTCAGTTTGACCCTCGTACCACTAAGAAAAGTTAAGGCAGTTGACTCCCCTCACAAATTGACTTATTAAAAATGGTGCTGGTTCATTATACAAAAAGATTTTTTTTTCTAATCTGTGTCATTAAATGATTTATCCATCTATCTATTCAGGTAACAAAAGCTCCTGAAGAGCAGATGATGCAAGCGATGAGCCTGAACGCGGCCGGACCAGCTCCCTCCGCCCTCCGCGTCACCGTCCCTCCTGAGCTTCAGGGAGTTGCTTTCATATCTGTCTTATGTCAGAAAGGTAGCTACTATCAATTTAATGTTAATAACCCTAATTAAAACTAATTCAATGTCTATCTCATGGGTACCTCCTGCAACCAGAAAATCCATCTACATTGGCATTTAACATCTTGCAAAACAATCTGTTGACTTCGATTTGTAACAATTATGTATAATATAACTTTGCTTATGACTTTCTACTGAAATATTTGATAGTACAAATATTTACATGTATAATCTAGTTTATTGATTGTAAAAATTCCAAAAAGGGATATGTGATAAAAACAAATATAAGTATTTTTTTTTATTTTTAAACTTAAAAATAAATAAGTCATATTCATATCAAAATATGGTCAAGCTAACTTACTACTTATTAATAATATTAACTATTTATTTTATCACTGTCAATCATAGAGCAAGAAGATGTAGTGACAGCAACCCTGAGCTCATCCGCATTAAATTGTCCTGGTACACTCCCCGGTGATGGGGCGGAGCTCCATTGGCAACAGAAGTTGGAAGCAGCCCAGAATGTACTATTCTGCAAGGAGCTGTTCGCTCGGTTAGCTGCTGAGGCTGTACAGTTAGATGCTTCCATTCCACATATGGTCGTCGGTAACCAGATCATGGCTACTGTGAGTTTCTAATGTTTTTATAGACCTATTGAAAAAGTTGGAAGCAAATGATTTATAAAATTGTATTGTGCCCAGCACGTAATTAAATCTAATATGACGTCTACTGCGCAGATTTAATCAAGTTTAGAAATTAAAATCGTTAAAACACTTTTGACCTAAGTCTAGAATGATTATTTTCAACAACTTTAGTTTTTTAGTTTTCATATGGTTATATACATACATTGTATTTTCAACTATTTCCAAATTCAGTAATAGGTATGATATTACGCAACAACGTAGATGTCAGCACTACCACATATAGTGCTCAAAATTCCAAAGAAACAATGCAGTAATTATCAACCAGTTGTACAAAGGTCTATTAATATTTTCATTAAAGTGACATTACCCATACAAATTTGACATTCATTAGAGTTTAAAGGCGTCATTAAACCTTAGAGGACGTTTGTGCAACCGATCATATGTATTATTGAGTAAAATGACTTTCTAAGTATGAATTCAAAAAATATTATGTTCCATTGTACTGTCACTATTACTTACTTTTTGCTAACTACTCTGTGAATGACCTTAGACATTAGCTACAATCTGGCGACAGAAATTTGCAATGATTCGTCCTGTTGAACTAAAATGGCGACTAGACATTTTCGGGTCTCAATCTAGGTGAGACGCTGCTATTAACAATAACAACGCGATAAATAGTCATTTTGATTCTACGTACGTACCGCGCGTTATAATGACGGCTAACGCGTTTAAATTTGCCACTAGAGGCGCTAGTGTAGCGTGAGGTCTTCAAAATGTCAAATATTCATATAAACAAATTTTGACGCTTATTTTAGATTACGTGAGATTCATTAGGGGGCGTCTATAAATTACGTGAGGTGTTTTTTTACATTTTCTCTAAGGTGAGATGTCGTGAGATTTTATTCAACCCCCATCCCCCAATCTCACGTGAGATTTTTCAAAATGTGGGTTTCTTACGTAAACGCGTTGGATTGTTATTATAAAAAAGAAAAAAATGCTTCGTGCTTTTATTTACGACTAGTTAAGACTAGTAATTATTATTGCTGAGAGTTATAAGTGTAATAAAAATTTAACAATAGAATACTTAAATCGTAAGTACTGTGATTAAAAAAAGAATATCTACTCTAATTAAAGAGTAAAAGTATATAAATGAAAACCAAAGAGTAAAAGTATATTATACTAGGGAAATGAAAAGGTTTAAGTTGAAACGCCAAATGCAACGCCTATATTATATAGTATATACTTTTTGGCAAGAATACCCGATTCCAGCAATTTGATGAGTACTTGCGAGTATTTACCTTGTTGTAGAATCGAGTACTCAGTATCGAGTATCGCCTATAAAAGTATCGATACCTGATCGGTATCGAAAGTATCGTTCGAATCCTACAAATATGGTGGTTTGATATTCAGTAGATGAATAACGTCGAAGTATGAATGAAATTATTTTCTTTCGAACGAATTAGTGAATGATCATAATCGTATATGATTACGCTTAAGATTAAATCGTAAGCATGTACAATCTGGATTAAATGGACCAAAATAGTATACATTTTTCGACCCCCCCCCCCCCCCCAAACATCTCACGTAATTTATGGACGCCCCCTTAAAGCAACTATGAATTACTGGTCAATGAATGTCAGTGATTTAAAGCCGGAACTAAGAAAATTAATGCAAAATGAAGCGGGATATGTCTATTCCGCATATTCAGTATTTTTAATGAAATTATATGTTTATGTATAATGATGTATGATTTAAATTCAATCTCGTAGTGAACATACATTGACAGAACCTCTCGTGACTGCGCCATCTGGTGAGCAAAAAAACCGTAGCCCTCATTACAACTTTGTCAGATATAAACAAACTATATAATGTATATCTTTTAATTTTAGGTACTTCCTGGTATTCAATTGCTAATAGGGCTCTGCCATAACAATGGACAAAACAACACCAATACAAATCCGGAAGGTGTAAAGGTAATAATTATAAAACTATATATATATATATAAACTAATATTATCCAATATATGACAATATAATGCTCCTAACTTAATCTCTTGAGTGATGAAAATAGAATACAAGAAAAACCTTTAGTTAGTAGTAATATGAAAGGAAATAGCGCTTTATCATCTATAAGATGTTCATCCTGTGGCTAAAATTTATGGCTAGAGAGTTAGGTAATCGCACCACTGGTAGATAGTACAATGAAAAATGCAAGTAGTTGAGACTCCATTCAGATGCAATTATTATCCAAAAATGAGGGGGCTAAGTCCTGTGGGACTCGACTCTGTCTACGAAGAAAATTAAAAAGGAACTGATCATTCTTACAGTTTTTTTTTTTAAATTATATTATCTGAACATCAGAAGCAGGGTCCATGTCCTACCTCTGTTTTTTTATTGATTAACGAAAAATGTGTTCCTTTAGTTTAGCAGTAAACCTTCATGTTGATTTGTTCGAGTTATAGATGCTCGTTAATACCTACCAATCCGCTTATAGTCCGTTTCACATAGCATGGGTATGGTGACGATTGTTTACAAATGAATTTTACACAATTGTTATTTCCAAATGATTAAGAAACATTATATTATATAAGATATTTATTTAAATTGGCATATTAAAGCACAAATAATTTTTAAATATCTATAATTACTGAAATCTCTTCCACCAAACATTATAATATTTCTAATTATTGCTGTCGTAATGAAATTTAACTACAATCAAATTTTGCGATTTTTCTAACTCGGTTTCATCTTATTGATTAATGAGTGTTTTTCTTAAATCGCACTCTTTACATTGACCTTAAAATCGATTATCATTATAAGAAATTCGATTTTTTTATGCTTATAAGTACAAAGATTTGATTGCTTGCATCGAATAGGCTCAGAAGCTACTGGACCAATTATAAAAATTCTTTCACCTACGAGAAGCTACATCATATGCGGTGAACATACAATGCCGGATTAAGCTAGAGCGGAGCCTGTAGCAAATTTTTTGATCCCCCTTGACCATTTCTGCCCCCTTTGTTTGCTGGAAATTATTATGTGTATAGTTATTGAAATAAAACAAAATTCCTACAAACACACCTTTTTTGATTTATTATATTTCATAGTAAATTCTATTTCAAACACCTAATATATCTTCCGTGAGGACGATAACAGAATAATCGGAATCAGTAACTGCAAACGAAACAGAAAAGTCGTCCTTTCCATTCCAGAAGACTTGAGTATTATTTGTTAGTTTATATTTATAATTAAAAATATGAGTTTAAACAGAAGCGTATCTCATTTAATTTCTTGCCTTTTTGAAATTGACTTAAAAAAATATTCTATTGGTCAGACCATAAGGGGCCTCCAAAAGCGCGGGGCCCGTAGTATTTGCTACTTTTGCTACGTGGCTAATCCGGCACTGTGAACAAAGGCTATATTTTATCCCGAAAAACAGCAAATAAAGGGCGGAAAATCGGAGTGAAAGTTTGTGTGCGGAATCAAAACGTTGCGACAGTAACCATAGCTTAGTAATAAATTTGTCATTGTATGTAATTATATTCGTGTCATGACATTAATCGATATCTAAATAAACGGCTAGCTATAGGCCAGCGGCTTCGAAAAAAAAAATTTTATTATCACATCCCAAACGTCACCGTACCCATGTTATGTGAAAAAGACTATAAATAGGCTGGCGGTGATGCTGACAGACGGTACTGTAACGTCCGTACACATAACTATAGGTAGGTTTACTCATCAGATGGTTTATGGTCAACGCTGGCCGTTAATATTTTAAATTAATACTTTTTTTTAATATGATCCTTTTATAAAGAAAAAGTAATAATTTACTCCCTCATGCCGGTCTCGATCAGAAAAGATAATCCTTTTTTCTGATCGAGACCGGCATAGAGTGAGTATCATAGTATTTCTTTGTAAGTGATTTAATGTTATGCCAATTTGCAAATAAAATCAAGACTGAGGAATTCTACCAGTTTTTCATTGCGCCACCCATCTCCACCATTAGGGGCCGTCCATTAATCACGTGATGTTTTTTTCTATATTTTTGACCCCCCCCCCCTCCCCCTTGGTGATAAATGGTGAGGTTTATGGCTACCCCCTCCCTCTTTCAACCAATTCACGTGTATTTAAAAAAAAAACTAAATTTTTGACGTCGCTTTTTGGTTTGATAATCGCGCATCGAGGAAAAATAAATACATATGATATATTAATACTACCCTTGTGATGTTTCGTAATTTTTGACGAATCCCCCCCCCCCCTCCTTTCGAGCGTCACGTAATTAATGGACGGCCCCTTAGATGAAGTTATTAGAGTGCCGTGTGTTGTACAGTCGGACGGGGCGGCGGGCAAGTCTGACCACGACCACGTGCTGGAGCACTCGCTGCACCAGCTGCTGCGCGCCGTCCACTACGCCAACACCCACCACCCCTTCCCGCACCCCGCCACCGGGCCCCTCGGGCCCTCCAAGCGGCGGTGTCTCGCCGGTATGTTAACGGAATAGGGGTCTCATCTTCATCATCATCATCAGCCCTTTTACGTCCCCCCTGCAAGGGCTCAGGCCTTCCTTAAGGAGGATGGGCCATGACCCTCCACGCTGGCCCAATACGGATTGGAGGTTATTAACGACTGCAAATGCAGCCGGGACCAACGGCTTAACGTGCCTTCCGAAGCACGGAGTGACTCGAGATAATAATTTTTTGGTCACCCATCCCGTGGCCGACCCTTGCGAAAGTTGCTTAACGACAACGATCGCTGACCGCGGCGCTTATCCACTACGCCACCGAGCTACTCTAAGCAACTTTTTTATATATATTTCATGTAATATTGTTTTGGTGGAATTGAATTACAACTCTGTAATTTGCGCTGCGATTATGTAACAATCCAAACCTGAATACGAATTCACTTCAAAAAGCGGCATCGGCTCAACTTTGAATTTTTAATAACGTTTTGTGGCATAAGTGAAGTGAGTTTCGAAATTACATAGTACTAGCTTTCCGCCAGCGGCTTCGCCCGCATGATGCCTAGGGAACTGTTTATTTGGGTATCGATTGCTGTTATCATAGCATAGTTTTTCATACATATATTTTTGGTATCTAGAACCGTTTCGCAGCGCACGCGACGGAAGCCCTCAAGGATGAATCATTTTCCCCGTTTTTTCCATATTTTCCATTATTTCTTCGCTTCTTATAGTTGCAGCGTGATGTTATATAGCCTAAAGCCTTCCTTAATAAATGGTCTATTCAACACAAAAAGATTTTTTAAATTCGAACCAGTAGTTCCTGAGATTTCAGCTTTATAATATTACTATAGATTAGAATATCTCAAACACGTATATCCAATCAATTTTCAAAAAAAAAAAATCTATCAAGAATTTCTGCACTTAATGACGTGAATTCGGGAACATGAGTGAATTCTAATTCTGATCAGGATTTTTACAGAGTCGCAGAGCAGGTTTAAAATTTGGACATATCATTTGACAATAGGTTGAATTGGGATGTGCAGCTCAAAAAAGTGAGTCGCAACCTTTTCGCCACTGCTGGGTCTTTAAGAGGACTCCGAAATATTTTACCCACTGCTGCTAAAATTGATCTCACACATTCTCTTATGATGCTCATACTTGATTATGCAGATATCAGCTATCTTGATCTCACAGAAATGCAACGAAACAAGCTTGAGCGACTTCAAAATGTTTACATTCTTCTTCTTCTTCTTCTTCTTCTCTAGCCATTCTCAACCGCAAGGGTCTAGGCTTCCTTTAGTTTCTGCCATCTCTTGCGGTCTTGGATAGTTTCCATACACTTCGTGCCAGCTGTTCGTTTGATATCATCATACCAACGCATCTGGGGTCTTCCTTGTGGGCGTTTTTCACCCCACGGTCTCCATTCTATCACGGCGTTACACCACGATCCCTGTTTGCGTGCAACGTGACCCGCCCACTGCCACTTAAGATTCGCAACACGCTATATGACGTCAGTGACTTTGCTCTGTTGTCTGAGCCACTGGTTTCTTTTACGATCTCTCAGCGTAACACCTACCAGCTTCCTCTCTAACGCTCTTTGGGCTACTTGGAGTTTTTGAAGAATCTTCTCGGTGACGCCCAAGTCTCAGCTCCGTATGTGAGCACCGGTAGTATACACTGGTCGTGTATGCGAGCCTTCTGTTCTGCAGTAATATTCATACGGAAGGCGAACTCAAGTTTGGAGTAGGTTGCCCACGCTAATCTTATACGCCTATCAATTTCATTTGCCTGGTTGTCTTTTCCCATTACGACCTCTTGTTCTAGATACACATACTTTGTAACTCTCTCAATTACGGTGTCATTTACCTTGATGTTCCTGGTTGTGCTGGAGCAGTTTGTCATGACCTTGGTTTTTTCAAGATTCATCTCCAACCCATACCGCACAAAGGCATTGTTGAGTTCCCGTATCATAGCTTCGAGGTCTGTCGGGTTGTCAGAGAATAGCACGATGTCATCAGCGAAGCTGAAGCTGTTTACATAAGGTGTATTAAAGTTTATATTAAGGTCTATTGGCATTATTAAGGTTTATGTTAAGTCAAAAAGTAGTAATTAATGAAGCGAAATCTGCAGGGGCAACCATTACTATGGGCGTACCTCAGGGATCGGTATTAGGACCGTTGCTTTTTCTGATATACATTAATGATCTTCCTCGCTTTACCAAGAATTTGCGTGAGACAGTATTATTTGCAGACGACACGTCTTAAGTGTTTAAAATTCAGATAGGATAATTGTTTTGACGATGTAAATGATGCTCTCGACAGTGTTCTACAGAGGTTTGATAATAATAATTTAAAGCTCAAATAAAATAAAACGAAATGCATAAAGTTTGCATTACCTAATGTGAGGCATGTTAGTACACTTATAAATGAAAATAGTGGAAAAGTTGAGTTGGTAGAATCGACAAAGTTTCTTGGACAAAGTAAAATTACACAAGATTACCGACTACAATGCGATCCTCATATTGATTACTTGTCAAGTAGACTGAGTTCTGCGGCTTTTACTGTTAAGAAAATTAGACTTGACAAATGTTGAAACGGCACGATTGGTATATTTTAGTTATTTTCATAGTGTAATAATGTATGGTCTATTGTTGTGGGGTTTTGCAGATAGCATTCAAGATAATTTTATTCTTCAAAAGAGAGCTGTCCGCGCTATATATACATATTTTGACTGTTGCCTTTCAGTACATCTATGAAAATATTATGTGCTCAAGAAAACATTACGATTCCTTCACAAAAAGTAGTGTTCATAATCTTAACACAAGAAATAAAAATAAATTTTCCGTTCCAAGCTTCAGACTTCAAAAAAGCAGAGGATTATTTCTGGATAAATGCATTGCTATGGTCAATAAAGTTTCACAAAATGTAATTGACCTACCCATAAATAAATCTAAAATTCATGTAAAGGCCATACTTATGAGTAAAGGCTATTATAAAGTCGATGATTATTTTAAGGACCGCAATGCATGGAATAAATATCCTTCGCTATGTTCTATAATGACTAAATATGTACCAACCTACAGACTTTGAAAGTTGTATTTATTATTGCTATAATATGTACTATTTTGGTAATGACATGAATTTCTGAATTTCGTGAAAAACTCAAGTGGTTGCCTGTTTCGACTATGCCGGAATGCACATATTCTATGATATTATTTGGCATACTTTTCAATTCCGTTACCCCTTTTTATCTAATTCAAAAGGGTCGCTTCAAATTTATCAATTTAATGTCATTACTTTGTTTAGAGCTGGTGAATTTCTTGCTCGGTCTTCTTATCGTCCAAAAGAAAGAACGAATGGTTGGGAAAATAATGTTTGACGATTCAAAAGTTCTAGAAATTGGTTTAAAGATAATTAAATAGAGATATTTTGACTCATATAATACGTACGACAGGTCCAATGGCGGCAGACCGTTACGAGCTTCTAGACATGAGCAAAGAACAGTCACTACTGGAACAGATCATTCAACAAGCTCAACACTTTTTCATGCGTCGACGCAGCGAATATGTACTCGACACGATCGCTAAAGAGGTCAGTATAATAGATTCACATTTTTTTTATTTTTTTTTTTATAAATACACACAGGAACAGATAAGAGAATAAGAAATAAGCACATTTTTTCAATATTTTTATATAAATATCGATATTTTTTAATTAAAATATAAATATTTTTATTGAACTAAAATTTTGTCATAAAAATAAACGATAATAATAAATAAATATAAGAAAACATCACATACATTGCTCAGATTCCAAGTTGAGTAGTAATAATGCCAACGAAGGTACCAAAACACCCAGACTAGAAATTGCACAGAATAGAAATTGCGTTTATTGCAAGTAACAACTACAAGCAATAAACTCAAATTGTCCAATCAATTAATTGTTTTGGATCGATTTTACTTGATTCGAATCGAACATTATCGTTTTGGATCGAATTTGATAGTTAGTAGATAAAATTGAAGAAATGGTGCCAAGATGTTTTGATCACTTTGTGTGATTATGCCCGTTTTTACTAACCTGAACAAGGCATATCTTAACTAGACATCACTAAAATTAAGAATAGCTTAAGCAGAATCATTGTTTCACCATTCTGCAATATTAGGTAATGCCTTACTTGTTTAGTTAGGCAGTGCTTGTCTATGATTTTGCATGCTTCAGTTCCTCTTTTTTTTTTAATGTATGGCATATTTGTGTTTACATAATTCCGCCACTGTCACGTTAGTGGCCATTACACTTAAAGAGACAATAACAGAAATATACATTTTGAGATATTGAAACAAGAAAAAATTATTTGGTCTTGTATTTACACGAACACCCAAGTCGACATTATTCATTTATAAAAAGTGAAAATTCGAAAAATTGTTAATAACTTAATTCTAATAAATAAACTCCTTGATTTCAAACTTACTAAATTGATTTTATCCCTTCACACATCCGTTAAAACCAAAGAGTAAATGTATCTGTCACATTGCGCAAAATGCCCAGCACTTAGCGCCGCACAATACATGTCCTAATTTTAAGCGTTGACCGAAGTCGCTAGGTGTCTCCTTGTCATTGGTGAAACGCATTTTCACCTTTGACAATGCCAAAATATTTACTTGGCAGATTTGGACAACTCCTAAGTTTAGTGAAAACGGGCATTAAAGTCGTTAGGTGACTCCTTGTCATTGGTGAAACGCATTTTCACCTTAGACAATGCTCCTAAGATTAATGAAAACGAGCATTAGTCACATTATGCAACTTTATTTGCCTGGATGTAATTGAACTTTTAAAAGACACATCTTTTTAATCATCTTGGGCGCCTCAATAATTACGACGGTGACCGTACAATAAAAACTCGAATCATTTTGGTTGAAAGTACTAATCATTATTATTTTCCTCTTTTACTTTATTATTGTTAGCTCGTACAAATTAACACGACACTTGAGGGCCTACTCTATTATCTATTTATCAGAGGCAGAAAATTCACATTATTATATAAAAAATGTAATTCTATAGAACATAATGTATAAGCATTTCGACGAGATGTACAATAGGCCTTCAGGTGTCATATTATACGAATATTAAATGTTTATATTTGTTTATAGGTGAAGGATCCCCTTATTGTATCACACTGGAACGCGTTAAACAGTCCCACACAATCATGTGTTAAAATAAACATAATGGCATACGGGTGAGTGGTAATAATTATACGCTTTAATTTTGGAGTACAGGAAACCACAGTCAGGCTACCGTAATATGTCAAATTTCTCCAGTGAACTTTGAACGCTAACCTCAAAGTATTCAGGCTTGAAAGATATGTTAAATACATTAGAATAAAGCTGTCGCGTTATGTCGCACCACACCACAGATATCTTCTTCTTTTTTTTATTTATGACATGTTTACACAATTCCGCTAATGTCACGTTGGTGGTCTTTACACGTAAAGAGACAATATTATGACATGTATTTCTTTGACGTTTCGACCTTTATTTTGACAGATATGACGCAGTTTGCCGTACGTCATTGGTGGTGCACGTTGGTGAGAAAACACTGAAGTGCATATGCCGAGACGGCAAGGTGCGACATCTATCGTACGAACTGCAAGAACTAAGGGACCTTATTTATTGCCAGGCACGTAGTATTAAAAGCACATCTTTACTTTGTTTTAATTTTGATGTCTATCATCTAAGCCATTTCTTATTGAATTGAAGCAAAAATGCAATGCAAAATGAACGATAACGACTGCAGCTGGTCTCCGACCAACGGCTTAACGACCTCCAGGCGTATAGAGCTTATGTAGGCCAACGCCGGCTGAATTAATCTTGCTGCCTATTCAAAATGCCCATAAAAAACCACAACAAAATAAAAGACTAATGTCGATACAATCATACAAGAGTACAACTTCCATCAGTTTCACCACATCATTCTCAAATTTACTGGTAGAGAATGCCTAAGGTACTAAGTCCGCCTCTGTACTATATTATGTGCATAAAGTGTTAAATAAATAAATTAGTCTCAGAATCTTGTATTTTTGCACAAAGATTTTAAGGTACCGCATGGGTTTAAATCACAGAACACGGAAAAGAGGTTAGAAAGGCGATCATGCATCCTTTATGTCTCCTCTACACGTAGACAGATTTATCTGCAGATGACGTCGGCAGACGCGTCCGCCGACGTATAGAGGGGGTGATTTGCTCGTCTGTGGTAGGTATTTGACGTCGGCCGATGCGTCCGGCACTTATCCGCGAGTTGTCGGTTTTTGTGGCACGGATCAAAGGGTTCCAGGGCGAGCGATCGACGCAAGCGAGCGGTCTGTCCACACGTCTGAAGACGCATCAGTGTTCATCGGGAAGCGAATGAGATTGTACGCGTGATTATTACAGTTTTTTTTGCGTGTTAAAATGGCTAACATGAGCACTGAAGAAACTTTTAAATTTCTGGAGCTGTATCAAGCAGAAAACTGCCTGTGGAATCCAAACGGTCTCGATATCCATTTTGCCTGCGTACGTGTTGTGTCTGACGAGAACTAACACAGACTGATCGACCTTCAGACGTGTGGACGGTTCGTAGAGATTCATCTGCGGATGCGTCCGCCGATGTCCGCAGATGAATCCGTCTACGTGTAGAGGAGACATTATACGAAAACCGATGTCGCCAGTCTTGCCCCAACTTCGTCCGCCGTACATCAGACGAAATATTAGACCCATTGCATTTTAAACATGCCGATCAGAAAGCTCCAGATATATTGGACCGTATAACCAGTCACGCTCAACCATAACAGACATCTAGAGTGCGTAATAAACGTGTAATAGCCATTTTAATTTGACATATTACACTAGTGATTGACATAATTTACTATCGATATTGAAAAACAACAAGACAATTAATTGAAAGGATACTGGAGTAATTTCTTTATATTTTGGATATGCTTTGGATTATATTTTTTTGAAAATATTTTTTTACACTTTTGATAACATGTCACGAATTTCGACTAAAAATACTAAATTTGAGAAGTGTTCTACTTACTAATGGAAAGAAATCCTTCCTTTGGACCTACTTGAGGATGGGCTTCTTGTTTTGCAATTAATAACTGCGCAAGTCGGCATCTTTAACACTTTTAGTGGCATGTTTCACAGTACTTGCAGCGCGGGCGTTCGTGAATGACTAAACATCGCGATCGCGTGGTGAAGTCACTATCCTGTACATTTGTCCAGGATCGTGGCTACACTGCCACGCCCACAAGGCCCTTCTAACGTCTTTCAGTGTTCTGTGGTTTAAATAATAACACCGAAACAGATTCGCAGTTTGCCTGTATAGATGGGCCGGCCTTGATGGGGGCACTTCCATAAGATGATGATACAATGTACGTGTGTACAGATATACCAGCATCAGATGACCGCGGTGCAGGCGGTGGGGCGGTGCATGGGCTGGCAGCTGTTGGCCAGCAGTGCACATCTCGGCTCAGGGCCCGTGGAACCGTTAGGCAACGCCTCCTCATGTCTACTGGCATCGCCCAATGGTAAGTTCCATTTACCTTTAATTTCCCTGGTAGCTATTGCCTAATTAACCGGATGTCACTAGTCACTATATTTAAAATAATTTAAAAATCATGACTGCCAGTATAATTAAAAAAAAAAGAAATAACTTGTATTATGGCTGCATTGAGACCCTAACCAAGCCATATTAAAACTAGTTTCTTTTATTTTTAGTTAAAGTTTGACAGACTTTTTAATTTTATAAGTATTTTTATTGTTCCTTTAAATTATCAGTTAATTAATACATAATTGGAATATACTTATCATAACCTTTTCTTTTGGTGGCATCATCTGCCATGTTTAATAATTTTGAAGAATATATGGCCAATGTTATTTGGCCATATATTTTTTTCTTTATATTCTTATCCGTTTAGTCTTTTAAGTTATTATGGTATAAACTCACTCACATATAAAAACATACATGAAACTCAAAATCAGGAAAACCCACAATCTAATTATTAACAATAGACATTTAATTATTCATTTCTCTTAGATAGGTTTGGATTTTGATTCTAAATTTATTCTCAAGACTTAGTCTGCACTACGACTTGCTCTACTAGTGCTTGACAAACAGCTGGGTTCCTAAATGAAAAAGGGCAAAATCTCAACTGGTTATTTTCAAAAACTTGTGATTTTTACATTCCACAAGTCAAAAAGTCGAAGTTACATCAAACTACTATCATGTGATATTTATGTACAGTATGAGATATTCTTAACATTAAATTCTCAATTAAGAAACCAGGTGACTCTTAATTGATTTAATAAATTCTTTCAAGAATGAACTCACTTTATTTGTATTGAATCTATTTTTTTTTAAATATTCTTTATTGACATATTTCTCAAACTAAAAATCTTTTTATAGTTTAATTACGGAATTAAAATTTTAATCGTTATTTTCATTACAGGTGACAGAATGATAGCGATAAGATGTGAACCATCAGTTGGTATTCAAGTATTTATAGCGCAATCTCCAAGAAAAGACTTCTTTTCTAGTGAATTAGTACAAGATAAGAAATGGGAGAATCTCGGTGGAGCCTTCAAGGAAATCAAACTGGAGAAAATGGAAGGAAAGAACTTCCTCAACAAAATGGAACTATTGATGGCGTGTTTAAGTAGCCCTTCATAAAAGCAATCAGAATTAGTATTTATATTAAAAAATAAGAGTAATGTGGAATTTTTTTAAGTGAAATCAATAAAATACAATTGAAGTAATATAATATCTTTTAATTATTATAAAGGAAACTTAGCAATAATTATTTAGGTAAAATGTTAAATATTTACTGAAGATTGTTCATAAATTCTTCTCAATGAATTATTTGACTCGAGATAGTAAATCCCATGGCATCTGAAACAAAATCTTTGTAAGTTTCACCATACCCACATGGTATTTATATTTTGCTACATTGAAAAAGATTACGAACCCACAAACACTACACACATTTCAAAAAGATATTCATTTTATTTAATACTTTTACATTTCTAATCATGATTACATTTGCCTTGAAAGAATAAATGACCATAGCTAATAACTATCACTACAAGATACGCAAATAGAAATAAGAAAAATATGTTACCTTTAATTCCAGAGACATTGCAAGAACTCTTCCGAGTATTAAACCCGCTAGTGTTAACAAACATTGAATTATAACACTTGGAAGGCTTCAGATTACGATAACACTAATACCTAATTAAATATCTAGAACTAAATTAAAACCGTGAGATGGGTGACCGAGATCTGAAGTTGCCACCACCACCGCCGCCGTTACCGGAACCATAACCTTGACCGTTTCGATTGTAGGGGCGACCTCCTCCATAAGAGTTGAAAGATCTGTTACCACCTCCTCGGCCATCGAACGAGCGCCCTCTAAAGTTACCACCGCCGCCACCGCGCCCGCCTCGGAAATTACCACTTCTACGCGCACCGTCACGTTTTCTCGATAACTCTACTTTTAGCGTCGCGCCTAACATCTCGAAACCGTTCATAGCACTACACGCATCTTCCGCCTCCTGCATGTTTTCAAATTCTATGAATGCAAAACCAGGGGGATTTAGTGCCACCCAGACTGAGTTCAGTTTGCCGTATTTGTCAAATTCCCTTTCAAGGTCTTCTTTCTTGATGCCTTCGACGAGTCCGCCGACGTATACGCGGGTCCCTCCGGAACTCATTTTGTAATCTGAAATCTGTAATAACACTTTTACCACCTATCACAAAATAACCCTAAATTCAACTAAACGTGGTTTTATCCGAAATGCGCAGCAAATCGCGGCGTCACAATTTTAATTGGGTACAAAGGAGATAATAAAACAAAATGTCGGATGCCACGACAACGGCGTCCCTAAAAGCGTAAGTAGAGGAGATTATAGTTTTTACTTACTTGTAAATATGAGTGAAGATTATTGGGATTAAATTACACTAATTACTTATGTTTTAACAAACAAATGTATTATTTTAAAATTAATTTTTACTATTCAACTACATGAGAGAAACAAATCGATGGAATTTTGAATGAGTGAAGGAAGAGAATGAATGAGATTGCGCGCGCCTAGGTCCACAGCGTCTAGTGATGTCCGTTAATTCACGCGCTACGGAGCACGTTATATAATAAAAAAAACGTTATTTAAAAAAAATTACAGTATTATTAAACCTTGAACTAAAGAAACGGTATACTCCTGTGCCACAGCAATTAATAGGCTAAAAACTTTTTGAAATATATTTTGTATCCATCCAGCATAGCATTGTGAATGCAAATTTGATCAAATATAATATATTTTGTATTTCAAACTTCAAAATTATTTAGCAGTCACCCGGATTACGAAAGGTCATGAGTTTGAGTCCCATCTCAGACAACCAGGGAAAAGCTTTAATTTTTTAAGCTTTTTATTTAGAATATTACTTTCTTTTATATTTTGGTACATTACGATTTATTTTTTGTTACAGCGATGTTCCTTTTTGTTTTATGTCTAATATTAATATGTTCGCGATTTACTATTGTTGTTTTCATTAAAAGTTGTAATGAGGAATGATGACCATTTTTTTATCTTTATATCAGGTAGTTTATTGAAGAATATAAAACACGAATTGTTTATATTTTTACGTACTCAATAAATTATCACAAAATAAGTTGGGTTTAAATAATACGTATCTAATATTTTACGTGGAACAGTTATTTTGCGATTTGCTTTTGTCTATTATATTTTAATCTAATTTAATTTAAATTAACGCTATCAAAAATATGTGTATTGGCTGGGAGGTTGCTATCGCCGTTTGTCGTTTTAATGCCAAGTTATTATAATAAATGCTGTAATATAAATATCTTCAAAATTGTATTAGAGACACTACGGTTAGTCACACGCAGGTATAATATTCTACTAATTAGAACCAAATTATTTTAAATGTTAGAACTAAACATCCGGCATGTGATCTATGTAACAAATATGTATAAAAAATATTATACTATACAAGATAAAATTGTTACTTTTCTTCATTGTTCATATTTTCCCCAAGTTATTAACTCATCATAGTCCATCATTTTCATTTTTCATAAGCAATCTTTCAGTAGATCATTCATTATATAATTCAATATTTCTCAATCCTATCAAATGTCAAATTTCATAAAAATGCCATATTTGTTTACTAGTTATATCTAGTAAGGAAAGCAGACTATACTTGTGCCAGACACTAGAGACGCTGCAATTCAAACCACATTATGATAACAACAAAGTAAGAACAAGAATGAGCATGTGAAGTGAAGGAGTTATTTGTTGTAAAAATATTGATCCAAAATAATAATTCGAAAGTTTTCAAGAAGGTGAAATGAAGAAAATCAAAAAGTATTTTAAAATAATTATTTAGAAATCAAAATTCAAAAAGCAAAACTATTTAGTGTTTCAAATAGTATATTGAATAAGGATATGCATTTCAATACTTTCTAATTGAAATTTATAATATGTAAATTAAACATTATTTAACTGGGGTTCGTAACTCACTTAACTTACGCTTGTTTACTATTTCGATATTTAACATAATCTCGAAGATACTAAAGTCAGCATTCTGGAATAAACCGAACTACGCTTAACATGCTTCTTGTTTACTCTGCCAGTCATCGTAATACCCAGAAGAACGCGGTATTCAATGTTTTATGCCGTTAAAACCCCTAGCTCGTGATGACACGAACAATAAAGTTAAACCGTCTTTAGGAGCGTTGCTAATGGCGTTCAAATATCTTAATATTTTAACACTCACCGTTGCCAATCAATGAAAGAGAGCGTATTGTCTCACCTTTTACTTTTAACTATAGTCGTGTTATTATAAAAAAAATGTAATTAATAGAATGTTTCTCTATATATCATACTTATAGAAATATATAACATAAGAGGCCCTTATTAGTTACAACTTTTTGAAGCGTTATTTTTGCTTACTGCTACGAACTATTATCAAAGCACATCCCTAGAAATGAATGAATGATGTAAAACTTGACAATAAACCATAATATATGCCATATGCCTGGCAACATAGGCATAAATTTCTTCCCTTCGCAAAAATATCAACTACAAATAATATTGATATTGTATTATTTGTATACAAATAATAATTATAAATATAGTGCATAAAGCAGTTATCGTTATTTATAAAATTGAATATCATAAAAGTACCGAGAATATAGGTATAAAAACAACATTTTGTTTTTTATTCCATGTTTCCATTTTGTACTTTATTATGTTCGTGTGAGTAACCGATCGGCGACCGGCGGATGTGAGGTTTGTCGTTTGTTGTTGAATCGGAAGGGAGGAGGCTTCGTCGCTTGCTCACACGAGGAGGGGAGGAGGGCAGACAGGGAGGAGGGAGAGGACTACCGCACGAAACCGGCCAAACTACTTCGTTCAACGGTCGCGCCGCACTGTCGTTCGTAGTGAGCGCGTATTTTTACTTGTTTTCTTTGTAACTATCCCACCTTTGTTTCGTTATGAATTATTTTAATTCAAATTTTAACAATAGCGAAACAACATTTTTAGTAACCAAGTGCCTTGAATGTATTGTATCAAAATGTTTTTGTTATCTATAAGTAATTTACCTGTGCGGTGTTTGTATAGATGTTAGAATATACAGGTGAGGAATCTTAGCAAAAGTGAAATGAGAAAAACTGTGTATAGTTGATGAATAATGGAGTGTTCTAAGGATATGGGGCTTCAGAAGAGACACAGTCAGTTCAGTGACACGAAATATAAGTGGAGGACCGTGGTGATGTTGTTTTTATGTGGTTTGTGGGGTTGCGGGAGACAGGGCGTGATGGGTATGGGAACCGCGGATCCTTATTTGTTGAACAAGTCTTCGGGGCTCACTGAACTGCCGGGCGGCGTAATCGCCAGCGGTAGAACAGTTTGGAAACCGGACGATAGTCCCTATCTTCTTAGAGACGATCTCTTGGTTGAAAGGGACGCAGAATTGATCGTCGAGCCAGGTGTAGAAGTCCGATTCGCTCCTATGGTCGGGATAACAGTACGCGGGAAACTTAACGCTGTTGTGAGTATAATTTCGGCCTCACCTTATATGTTACCTCAAATTATATGTTAATGTAGTTTTAAGTGTATTTAGTATTTCTAATTAGATTCTCATTAGAAATTGCTAATAACTTCTTAATGAAAAACGCTCGAGTTAATCCTTATTGCTAATGCTTTTAATGAGTAATGTTCAAACGCCAGCACATCAGGTTACCACAAAAATGTCACATTCGCAATCGTTTTAGAATTTAACTCTGATGGCATTAGGGCTTAAAATAAATTGTAGATATTTTATAATTTTGGTAACGCGACATAGCGTACACTGTACTTTATATTCGAAACATGATTGCATAAACAACACAATAATGAGGAAAGAAGTACAGACCAATATTATCATAAATGTACAAACAGTAGTAAGTCACGTTGCCACAAAATATAACTACAACCAATTTTGAAGTTAATAATCATTGCAATACATATAAGATAAAATTTTGGATATCATTAAATCTGTTATATTTATTAAAATAAAAGAAACAAAATTGCGGATAAATTTCCCTGTGGCTGTGCCATTAAAAGATAAAAAAATGTTGAAACATGTATTGGCACACACGAGTATATACAGTTTAAAAATGATGAGTATTTAATGACGATAAAACCTCTATAGATGCTGGGAAAACAAAGACAAGAGAAATCCTACTTATTAAAGAATTAATCTCGACGAGTACTTCATTACAGTCACCAAATGGATCTTGATTCTATCGTTATTTTGAATGATAAACTACCTAAAAACACAAAACAATATAAAATAATCGTACTCTTTCTAATAAGATGTATAAAAGAAAATTAATTGCGGCAACAATGAAAAAAGAAAAGCATCTAAGTTTCAAAACTAATCATGGCTAAAAAAATAGGGCACCTTTTCTATAGATCGCTCATTCCCTATTGATAACAAATACTTGATAAATACCACAATTTCACGATAAAAAAAAAACATACATACGGACACTGATAACTCGCAATCTTATTCAACCGCGATATTGATTTGTTCACCTGTTGAAGTGGCATGGGCAAATATTTAACACGTATCGGAACTAACGCGAATGTAAATAACAAACTTTTTGCATTGTATCTTATTATACGGCTTGACAATTCAAGCAAATAAACAAAAAATTGGGAAGAACCATATATTTTTGTAGTATATTAAGTGACTTTACAACTTAGATTATTTAATGTCGGCTTTTATTCAAAGAATTTAAAATAAAGATATTAAACTTCTCAGACTTGTTGCACGAGTGCAATAAACTACCTTAGCGATCGTCGACGAATGAACGGTGAAAAGAACACAAAACCTTTAAAAATTATACATCACCTTATTTTCACCACGAATCTCATTGTGTTCACTGAAAAGTAAGAAAGACAAAAGTTGTAACTACTTTCCATTTTGTGATATCTAAATAATTAAATATTAATAATTTCGTTATTAAATATTAAAGTACAAACATCCTTAGAACGGAAACTAAAATAGTTTCTATTACCTTACCGATTGCCGTACCATACCTTCTTGCAACATAAAACATGAATCATAAATTATGATGAGCACGTGTTAATGGAGGCAGCTGATGGCACAAAGGAGCCGGGTGCTGACCCAAGCCCGCGACATAGCCTGATTAATCCAATCAGCAATACAAATCACAGGTCGCCCCTCTGGCCAAGACAGCTAACTTCCTTCCTACAGAGATTGATACCGATCCACCGCGGTGTTTGCAAGTGCGTGTGAACATTATTTTGATATACAAAAGAATTTAATATTTGGAAATACCCTATAGAATTGTATCTACTATCTTTACATTTGCACGCAAAGTATTTCACAACAAGCGTTGAACTAAGGGCACAGCTAGACGCATAAACTAGAATATTATAGTCGTTAATAACGTAATGTTATACCTTCGGAACTTTATAAGATATATGATTTATTATCTTATCCTAAACTGTAAAACAGGTAGAAAGTAAAAGTATGAAGGAAACAATAAGATAAACACTCTTTTAAGATTGTTTTCTAAAAAAATAAAAATAGCATCAACTGTAATCAAATAAGTTATCACTAATGTTACCGCAACGCGAACAATACTAGAAGACCATTCAAATAAGTCATTATTTTCATTGCTTTGAGACGTGAAGATCTACTGACCGTATAATTTATATTTTATAATACACATTTCATTACTTTTACTTTCTCTGGAAACATTCTTCAGTGTTTCCTGTGCCTAGTATTTTAATAACTAATTAAACAATACAAACATAACCATCAAACGAAGTTATGACAGAACCATCTATTATAATAGCTTCAAAAGGTGATTCACTTTTCTTTAGTTATGAAATGCATCGGGAAGTTAATATGGAATAGCTGAAATAAAATCTAAATTCGTGACAATCCAAATGACCAGTAAACTGTGAACTGCGGTAGCTTTCACTGTAATATTGGGATGAACATTTTTATTGTTGGAAAAAAGTGGCACTGACGAATTAACAATATAAAAGTAATACGAAAACGTCAATGTAAAAAGATATATTGATATGTAAATAGACTTATATTAAATTGGTTCCAAACAGTAGCGAACTAACTACAGGCTGTACTTATTTTTCTACGACGCCTCCATCCGAATTTACGAATCGAATAAGGGAAGTTGCAGCCATTTAGAGGCCCCTCAGAACCTGAGACCTGGGACGGACCACTCCCTCCCCCTCTAGTTCGCCACTGTTTCCAAATACATTAATTAATAATGAGAAAACTTCACTGATGTTGAAGTTGCTACTATATGAAATCATAATATTTTTAGTTTTCTCAGGAAAATACAATATTCGACTACCTATATGTATTACATTTTTTTTTTCGTAATTGAAAATCGTAAAATGCCTGTCACTGTGTAGTCGAGACCGCTCGACCTCTTATAATGATTGCAATTTTTTTTTCGAGATATTAACAAAAAATAAATTATGACATTACTTGATGCAATACGACGTGATTTATCTGTATTTAATTAATTAACTCATTGACTTAATATTGCGATGTTTTTTTTTCCTTTATACGCACACTTCTTAACCATTTGAATACCGTTACTGATGCATATAAATCGTATAGTAACGCACTAGAACTTTGTTTAATTAGGACATCTATCAAAATCATGTCAAGATCCGTAAACAATGATAACAGAAAGTGCCTTAGGCGTCCCAAACAAACAACGCGTCTTTACTTTATCATTTTAGGTTAGTTGAAAAACTTCAAACAGGTGATTGCATACCTGCATTAAAGTCATTAGCTATCAACTCATTCCGCTAGATACAGTTAGTGTTGCGCTCGACTGGCCCTAGTGCCTACCGAGAACATGCCGACCTCTGACTAAGAAACCATTTCTGGGCCAACCTTGAGTGTAAACAACATCAGTTCAGAATCGTCATGACTCATCGGACTTAATGTTACTGCTACAGTTGCTGTTAACGGTAACATTTTCCTGAAGGTCGCAAATTCTGTACGTTGATCTTTCATCATACCTTTGTTCAATGCAATGTGTTAATTGAACAAAAGTTTTAATTGCATAAGCAAACGTTCCCTACGGTAATGATTTACTTATGTCTAAGAGTCGATTAGTTTTGGAATAAAGTTTATAGAATGGAATTTCTTCTTACTTTCGTTTCCACGGCTGATTAGAGACAACACGAATGAGTCAACCAAGTGATTCACAGTATTGTATGTTGAAATAATGTATATGTCGTCTAGAAAGATGAGCAATGTTGTGTTTTCTTAATTTCCTAACTCTGGAAATAACGATGTTATAATTTCATGAGAAACCAAAATTTCTCTTTTCTTACTGATATGATAATGATAATTACACTAGTTCTATGGAATATAGTTATTTTACTAGAGATAATGTCGTTTAGTACTTAGTATCGTGGGAGGAAATATGACTCCTAATTAATAGTGTCAGGGGATTTCCTAAGTTTCAGTTTCAAGTTATATTTATTTTTATCTAAAGAGGAGAACATCCTCCAAATATGACTCGTAACGTGACTATTATCGATTGACGTCATTAATTAATCATCATCCATATTATTTTTGACACGAAAAATTGTTATATTTGTCCTTATCCTGGTTTAAAGTGTTTCTTGTAATTCGGGAAGTATATTAATCGATTTCACGAATTCCATTCCAATGCGATCTTTATGCATCGATATTGAGTTTTGTTGATTGATATCGTCATAATAAATGCGACAGAAAGTTTTAAATATTGAAAAGATATAACATAGTTTTAGACAAGCTTTTTTTTAATTAGATCTAATCTTATCTATAAGTTTATGTACCTAGAGACAGACGACATTAGTAAAATTAGGCGCATTACTTTGTTTATATAGAAACTTGTAAATGACATAATATATATATTTTGTCATCATCAATACTTTATTTATAATAGATATTTATACTAATAATATTTTACTTTATAGCTTAATGTGGAATAGATTGCTATGTATACATTCTACGGATACTTATCGCTGGTTAGTATGGTTTTCCATCACAATATGTGAATAAGTACAAATAAGTAACTAAACAGTTTAATTTTACAATTGGAGCTGATTTACTCATAACAAAAAGCAAAACTCTAAGTTATTTACGTAAGTAAATGGTTTAGCTCGATAAGTGAAAGAATATTAAAACTATTCCGTTATTCCAAGAAATCGAATACCCCCTAATATAGTTAGTTAATTTTTCAAACCTGAAGCAATTCTCTGTTTTTTTTACTGCTCAAGTCGAGGGCAATCTTAATTTTACTATCCATAGAACAAAGTGAAACAGAGAAAGAGATTGGCGCTACATTTCCTCTTTTTGCCTGCTATATAAAATGCAACGAGAACTTAATTCAATGTCAATGAGGAAGTATTTAAAAAAAAACGAAAGCACTTAAAAGCACTACCACTAGATGGCAACTCTAGCAATTGTTGATTTTTGCAGGAAACGAATGGACTACA